TAACATGTATATGTATCTGTGAATTATGCGTATTTGGTTTGTTCGGATCCACATACGGTTATTAGAGACGACAAGAATATCCCCGATATTGTTGCGTTCGTTCCTTTGGAAACGTTTTGTGGGTTATGCAGATTTGGTTCAAATGGAACTTTAATCGATTGGATATTGCCCATTTTGTTGATGACTCAATTCCATCGATCGCATATTGCCTTTTTTTATTCTTGTTCTGTATTCTAATATTGAGGGCATAAATTGACTATTCCGAATCGTTGTATAAGGATAATAATAAGCATATACAAATTCAACTTAACCTCATTGTGCTCTAGAGCAGGTAGTACTCTCTTGTTTCTATCAATAGCTGTAGTGTTAGGTTGGCATGCATTCATTTTACCAAATCTGTTTGAAAGATGAATGCATAAATTGTATTGTTTTCCGACTTTTCAGATCAACACGGTTTAAATTCCTCCATTGACGATACGACCGCTGTCTACTTTCCAAGCTGCCCTTATCCCCTGGTAATATCGATTATACTCTCTCAGGTACTCGGGCAGAATAATTGCGTGATTAGCCCTTACTGGTTGTATGCAGCGCCGTGAAACCGGAGTTGCGATGTGCGACATTGGTAGGCGAACGAAAGAAGCTTAATCCACCTCAAGGTGGAAGAAAAAAGTTGCAAATTGATTGATGCTTGACGATTACTAGCTTTAAAACATCACGCAAGCATGGAAGCAACGGTCAGAAAGTGATTCGATTTCATCACATTCACATCCTGCAAGTAATGTACACCGTCTGACATTTGGGCATTTTCGCTCAATTTCCACCAATCCAGTATAGTTACATTAACTTGATTTTCAGTCAGATATTCGTCTATCTTCTTGTTGAACTCGAGATAGTTCTCCCGACTCTGATGTGGATACTTCTTATCCAATACACGGGATTGTGCAGATCCTGCGTGCCATATCAAACGAACTTTGCCCTTCTCTTGACACTTTTTAAATTTCGGATTTTCTAAGAGAGGTTGAATTATCTCGCTAATCGTTCGCTTGGCGCTAGATTTTACGTGCAATCCGCCCTGCAACTGTATCAAGACTGGCCTTGTATCATCGTCTGGGCAGACAATACGGTCGGCGTGAGCTTTGACACGTCGCCGAGGATGTCCATCAGCGGATGCGCCCATAAAATCAAACCGAGACAGTGGCTGTACATCCGAACAGACTTCATGGAACAAGTCGTAGAGATCTATTGCATTTCTACCTCGACACATTGCATTCTCGCTGAATAGGCCATCACACTTACAATGCAGTTGTGCTGCCGAAGTTTTAACAACTGTACCGCCGGCAACGTAATCATCAGTCATCTGAATCATAAGTGCTTGGGTGAGATGCCTTGTCAATGAGTCTCCCAACAGGGCTACGCTAGAATATTTTGCGAGTATACCGCATATATCACTTCTTTCCTGGATATATGGTATATCGCAATTTGCAGGCTTGAAATAGGACGATTCAACTGCTTTAACCATATCTGGCGCATCTTGTAGACTATCATTCAACCAAACACGTTCACCGTTCTTAATGGCAGACGTAAGTTCTTCCAAGTTCCCGCACTGTCGTGTATTGTATGGTAGGTAGTCATTCGTCGTGACTGACCAATCACCTGGCAGTTGATCCATCCCGTAACCATCTCGTCTACTAAGTACTTTGCTATGTGCTTTGCAAAATGTGAAGTCCGCTGTATCTGTATTTTTATATGGTTTGAAGTCTTGTACATATATATTGAGTATATAGTCGGCCGCTCGGGTGTAGTGAACCAAACCAGCACACGATGCCATTCCTACGAGCACACACAGGAATGTTAAACTCTCTTTTAAAACAAAACCTCTCTGATCCGCTACGCTCACCACCATTATTGAGTTTTTGATAACCTCTACACGTAAACCTAATGTGGGTTTGACTACCAAACCTAATGAGTATGATTATGGTTTGTGAGGTTCAAGGAAATGATAATATATGAGCCATGAGTCGAGACTCGACGAGACTCGAGAGCCCAGACTCCAGTCCCACGGCCACAAGTCCACGTCCCACGACTCCAAGGCCCAACCGCCCAAGCCCAAGGCATGAGTGATGTAAACGTTTTTTTAACAAAACAACTAAAACACATAAATTGTTTTCTACATTATTTACTCTAAGAGCAGAGTGGTGACCTACAGTATGTATTGTTTTTATAAAAATACAGAACTTCTCTATGAGACCTTCGGAAACTATATATTTATATACATACGTCGCTACATTGGTATTTGACATGACGGAGAGGCCAAGACATGGTGACTATTTTTAAAAATATATGTCTTTGAAATCTGGTCAGAAAAATACATATATATTTAGTGTCATTCTATGACTCAATATGTATGTATTTAAAACAAAACATATATATATATAGTCAGCCACAGACTCACAGTCACTACTAATAGTAGAGTAGAGAGTATGAATAAACCCTAAAACCTTAAAGAGTGGCTGTCTCCTGAGTAGTCTTGACTGTCTATTTAAAAATATACTCTCTCTTTCTCTCCCTCTCTTTCTTTCAGTCTTTCAGTCTTTGTCTCTACGAGTTCTCAGGTACTTTACCGTACCTTTTTTTTCAATCTTGAAAAAGCAAAAAGCCAAAAATTAAAAAATATTAAATTATATAGTATAATTCGAGTTTGTGTTCAATTTTAAAAATAGAAGGCTATGATTAGACACTAAAAAATATTTTAACTTTTTTAAATGTTTACCTTGAGACTCTGACTCTCTGAGTCTCTGAGAGTTGATATTAAGAGAGAAGATTGTTTTTTGTTCTATTTATAGAAAATAATATCATATTTTTTTAAATATTAAAATGGAGGGAGCTTTCAAGATTCAATTGTTCAATTTTCAAGGCTTCACTTCTTGAATCTTGATCACTTCACAATTCACAGTAGGTTCAGTGTTTAGTGTTCACAGTTCACACTACAGTGACTCCAAAAGCTTCCTCACTCTTCACTCTTCACTCAATAGGACTTTAAAAAAAGAAGTTCAGCCTTATTTATACATTGTTTTATGAAAAGAAAATATAAAGAGGAAAATCATGAACGAAGACCCGGCAAAGCGCAAGCCGTCACAGATGTACTTCTAGGGACTGATGCGCGGAAAGCAGCCTTTGGACCGGCCTTTTTAAGGGGGCCCTTAGGGCTTAAGCCTTGGGGCCTGGACTCTGAGTACCTGGGGGGCCCATCTTGTGTGGGGCTGTACTTTTTGTTTTAAAAAAAAGAAGCAACTGCACCAATACCTTAAAATAAGAAATAAATAACAAATATGTATTTAGTGTTCACTTTTCACTTTTGACTTTACACTTTACAGTGCTATTTTTATATATATTGTTTTAAAAGAAAATAAAGTTCTGCGACTTATAATTTTCTTTTATAGTTTTTAAAAACAATATATATATATACTCAACGCTGACCTCGCCACTACGAACGTGCTTTTTTTTTATACAAAAAAACGTGCTTTGTACGTATGTACAATTGTACACGTATTTATTTCTATATTTGCTCGAAATGTTTTAGAAAGCATAAGTTTTGTATTTTGGTTTGTTTGTTTTTTGAAAAGACATATTCACCGCTGTTTCCCCCCGTAGATTTACTGTTTCGATAGATTGTTGAGCGAATCTTCGTTGACAGCAAATTGTTTCAGATTATCTGTCTCTAAAAAAGTGGCAATCGCCAGCAATAACAAAAGAGTGCAGTGGCCCACCAAAGTCCTCGTTCAAGAGCTCTCGCATAGTTCCGGCTTTCAATGTCTGAGTGATTAAGAAACAGGTCATTCTCAGAAGTAAGAAACACATGTATCGGCACAGTATTCTCGCACTCGCAGCTATGCTCGACACTCTTACTATGAAAGAAGTTTGCCAAGCATGATACGGTAACTCAAATGCGATGTCTTTCTAGAAGATTGGCCGTCAACGTTCGTGGAGCAAGTCACATAGATGTACAGTACGATGTCTAATGTTTACTGTCTAATGCAGGCGACTTGATATGTCGTAAAGCTATTTATATATAAAACACTTTTTCAATGAGGGCACACTCCTCTCTTGGGCGCATCAAGAAGTGTCATGTGCAAGATTCGTGTCCACGTGTAATTTTTATACATACCTGTGTGGGTTGCCCGACACGTGCGAGTCCTACGCAAACGGTATCCCAGTCATAAACTGGATTGTTGTGGAGAGTATCAATACATTATCGATCAGTACGGCACTTGAGTGCAAGCTAAATTCGAATGGAAAGTATACTAATCCGTCGAGTAACTGTACCATTAGTTTTGGATTGGTTTCAAACGTACAAACGCGCACAGGTGTAAGGAAACGTAGATGCTGGGTAAAATCACATCAGCAAACCAAATGAAACACATTGATAATTTCCACAATAATTCACAATGAATGTGCAGAGTATCGCTTCTATTGGTTACAGTATATAGATTTGTGGCTAATTCTATATGTGGCTAAAGACATGTTTATCTATCCGAGCTTCAGAACATAGTATTCAAATTGATTGAGATACACCGTCTATATTTGGAAACACCAGAGCCAGCATTGATCTTTAGTATTTGACACAATGTGGAAAATAATAGACAAAATGTAGAAGGCAAACATGTACATTTGCGTACGCAAACATAGGCAATAACCGGCATATATACGAATATACATTTGGCCGGTGCATGGGTTGATGTGCAAGCACGAACGAATGACTGAACCACAGCAACTTATGCTCAAAATCTCACCCTTATAATTATTTCTATTATTTCCTTCTATACAATCAGACTGATGCAATGTATTTGCACCGTATTTACTCGAACACATTTACAAGCAGGCAGCACTTCATACTACCAGATAGCTAGCTTAAGTCCGGCTAGCCGCAAGCATACAATACATTCCACAGCACATGATTGGGAACAAACATATCGATAATGTCGATTTTTTCAAATTGAATCACGTACCGCCTTCATTACGTATTTCTTCGATCTCCATGAGTTGTTCTATACATTGATTCACTGTCATATAACGCGGGGGCTGGAACTTTCCGTATTTGCCTTTCATCATCTCTTCCACGGTCATTTCTTTAACTTTGATATCTGAATATGACAAAGCGATGTGATCATAAATTGACTTCGCACTTTCACAATATTAGATATCAAGTTGACCTGTCTTACAAATCTTCATCCGTTACAAGTATATGAAAGAACGGGCTCGTTAGCGCAATACATTGTATCTATATCAAGCAGCCTTGTTCACATACCTAACAAGCAGAGAGTGTGTAGTCCCCTTTTCCTATTTTCTCGGATTTTCGCGTAGAAGCTATAGCGATACACGGTGGAAATTACAAATACAAATTTGTCAGATAATATTGCACGGATAATTAGATCGCACAGCTTGCGGTGTGTGACAAGTCGACAAAGACCATATAAAGAACACTGATCTAATCGCGTACTTAATACCCTCAATTCACGCACATCAGTCACACGCCACTCGAGCACCTCGCTGCAACAATTTATTCTATAATCTCTCTTCGTTTATTCGAAGCACACTTCGATGTTAGGTAAATTTGCCTACGCATCGCTCCCTTGAAGTGAAATACACGTGTGTGAAACACTACCAAAATGTGATGTTGATCATTTCTGATACGAATTTTTGGGCCGCAACCACAGCTAGTATATTCTGTGTGAGTAAAGAATAGCCGTGCCTTCTAAACCACGTTTTAGATAATATGAGTTCTCGTCAATTCTTGATATTATTCGTCAAAAATTGCACTATTTGCATCAAAGCTTCAGCAAGTCGCGAACACCATACACTTTTCCAACTATGCAGACTAAGGTGTAAGAATTATCCAACAGACCAACCTACTTGGTACAAAGCAAACTATAACAAGCCAAATTCCAAGTAATTCACACACACCTGTCTGGTTTCCACTCGTCTGTAAAGAAGCATATCGACACGGTCTCTCCATACGAGTACAGTTGCAAACCACAGCAGCCAACGGCATTCATGATGGACACATTGTGTATGACTTCCACTCCCATTCCCTTCTCCTTTGCGCGTAGCATTAAGTCTGAGTGTGTAGTGGCACTGTGAAAGTGTACAGGCGATCAGTTCGGCGATTTGAGCTTATCGCATAGCGTAGCGATTTAAATGGGTTCCACGTAGTAAGCAAATTATAAAAGAAAGCATTGAAGGATGAACACGATTTTTTACTACAAAATCGATGTACTCCTACGCAAACTGCCTCAATATTCCGTAGCGGAGATCAAATAACAGTGCATATCAGCACAGGGTGTTGATGTACTTTATGTGTAGCATAATTAGCGCTGAGTGTGAGAACGTCTGCATCCCTGACCAATAGAAACGCCATCTCCGTCTAAATTAACCGTAACTATCCTACGCCCTGTGCATGATACTTGCAAAACAATGACATATTTGATTTTGATCAGCTCGCACAGCGCGTCTGCACGATAATGTGTAGATGTTACCAACGTTTGATTTATCATAATTATTCTGCGCGATATAAATTTTGCAAAAGCGTGCTTGGTCCCGGATGTCTCCAATTTACAACAGAAGAGACAGTGGCACAGACATTGAATCAAAAAACGTTTATTTCGTGATATATACATGCCAATGTTTGGAAAGGCATAAATCGATTATACATAAAAGTGTACCAACAACAAACAGAGATATGTCAATGGGGTAGCGCTGCTCATTCTGAGCGCCGATTAGTAACTAAGCCTTCAAAATAGCCAAACATAAAGTTATATGCGAGCTAGGTCAAAACTTGGACTATGACAATAGCATGCATCTATAAAATGTGCAAAGGCAAAGAAAACACACCCAAACGGATCTCCCACCACTAGAATGGCTATGTCATCATCGTTGGGCCCTGCGAGCATCTCATCGGCACCTTGTTCCACCATTTCTCTGTCAGCAACAATCACCTCACGTCCATAGAACTCTTCAAGCCTGGAACAAAGGCAAGGGTATGTAGGTAGTCGACGTTAATTCCAAGATGCAGAAGTTTTCAAGACATCAGTATACGACGCAAATATATTACGATGACCCATGCCAAAAAGAAATGAAAACATATAAAATCATCGACTTATGACCGCGCACGTATGATGTACGATAATTTAAATACACGCTTTAACGAAAAACGAGGGCCAGAAGCAATGCTGAACGACAACGATCTTGTATCGATGCGCTCGTTCGGCAGCATGATAATTTGAAGCACTTATCACGAATGTACTCATCTATATATGTATGTAGGTATGCATGTATGAATGTATGCATGTATGTATGTATGTATGTATGTATGTATATATGTATGTATGTATGTATGCGAGTTTGTATGTATGTATGTTTGTTTGTATGTATATATGTATGTATGTATGTATGTATGTATGTATGTATGTATGTATGTATGTGTGTATGTATGTATGTATGTATGTATGT